AGAGTGGTCAGTAAAACAGTGCAAGGAGTGACTTATATTCACCATCCTTCACTCCTCAATTCCTGAGTTCAGTTCCCTGCACCGTGGTGGGGAACTGCTCCAGGAGCTTCAAAGCTCTGCTAAAGCCTTACGAGGCCACTGCCAGAGCATGGTGTGCAAACCCGAGCACTGTGCTCCCAGAAAACAAGCTTTTTCTCTGCAGTCAGAGTGTAGCTTTATTTGTCTGCAGTAATGGGAGCGGCTGGATTTCTAGCTAGCAGTAGGTAGGAAGGGCCAGAGGAAGAGAGAAATCAAGCTTTTCAGTACGCAGGCTCGAGAAGGAGAAATGGGCAGTAGATAAGTAACCCAAGTCGTTTCAAGTCCCGCTGTCTTTCATGGCTACACGAACATGAGTTTGAAGGGGCTTTGTCTTTAAATCCTGCTTACGAACTCTGCCAAGGGGGTGAACAACAAGCAGGTACATCTGACCGGTGTGTAAACCTGGACTAACGCGCTGCAGTCTGTGGTAAGAGACTCCCTTAGGCCACATGAAGCCTCCTGTAACATGGGGAGCGAGACGACATCCAGTACAGCGACACTTTGGTATCTTGGCACTGGAGAAGAGTAAATCAGTTCTTGTATTTGTACGTGAAAGCGAACAAAAGCCTTTTAATCCTTCCGTGGGTTCCCTATGGGCCTGTCAGCAGCGCTGGTGTGAGGAGCCGCAGCCGTGCTGGTGAACTGGTTCCCCTTTGTTCTGGCCTCCTGTTCCTTTTCCTCCTTGTCTCATTTGCCTCTCTGTCCCCTCAGTCAGCTCCCAGGCTCTCTAGAGTGATGGTTCTCATTGAAAAATGAGCGTGAGGGAGTTCAGTAGTGACCCTTCCTCTGCTCTTCCCGGCAGCACAGCGACTCGGATTCAGAGCCGGAGTTTTCCTCCCTCTCGCCTTCCATCCCGAGTGCCATCCCTGTGACTGGAGAGTCCTACTGCAACTGCGAGAATCAGAGCGAAGCACCCTACTGCTCCAGCCTCCATGCCCTCCACCGCATCAAGGACTGCCGGTGCGGCGAGGAGGATGAGTGTAAGGAAAGGGGCTCCCCAAAATCCCACCCATAGACCTTTGGGGTTTGAGCTGGTCTGGCAGCACAGACTGCACCCCTCCACGGCTCCATCGCTTGTCACGGGAGCCCTTATCTCTGTCCTGGTGTGCTGTGCTCCTTTGTTTACATCTCAAGGCTGCGTAGACCGTAGGAAGATTAGAAGCCCGTGCCTCCTGTGGTGTTATGAGGGCTCAGTGCTGAACTCGTTCATCCATCAGAGTTCACCTCTGGGGACCTACTTTCAAATCCAGCTTTAGGCCACTGGTGAAACTGGCCCCTGTGATTACAGCCCTCTTGCTGCTGATCCCCGGTGGCGCTGGCAGGGCACCTGGCCGCGTGGCAGGGCGTGCTCAGAGCAGAGGGGCGAGGTAGGCAGAGGGTGCCTTTGGGCTGGATGAGAGAGCGGAGCTGCTCTTTGAGCCTACGCAAAGTGTAGGAAGAAAGGAGGCTCCGCCTGGGTGTGCAGAGCCTCATGTTAGCCAAAAATGGGGACTGGCAAATGCTGACAGTTGGGGTTCAGAGCGCTGAACCACACCGGTGGGACGCTGCACAATAGTTCAGGCCTCAAACAACTCTCCGATGTGCACGGCTTAGGGTTTACCCTCTTAAATGGTAAAAACAAATAAATAAATACCTTGACAGGCCTTCAAAACAAATGTCCACCTGTGCTATGGCTTGAGGATTGCTCCCCGAGGACCTTTGCCCATCCTTGTCCCTTCTGTGCTTCCCCAAACAGATTTTGACTGGGTATGGGACGACCTGAATAAATCAACAGCCACCCTGCTGACCTGTGACAATCGCAAGGTGAACTTCCACATGGAGTACAGCTGTGGCACCGCCGCCATCCGGGGCAACAAAGAGCTGGCAGACGGGCAGCACTTCTGGGAGATCAAGATGACCTCGCCTGTCTATGGCACAGACATGGTACGTGGGGCAGAGTCACTTATGGGCACAGAGAAACATCCAGGTTTCTTTAAACAGGGAGAATGAAGGAGTGCCCACTGTAGGAGAAGATCAGATTTGAGGCCATCTAAGGAACCTGAAGGTGCACAAGTCCGTGGGACCTGATGAGATGCATCTGTGGGGCCTGAGGGAAGTGGTAGGTGAAGTTGCTAAGCCACTGCCCATCATATTTGAGAAATCATGGCAGTCTGGTGAAGATAACTAACTAGAAAAGGGGAAAAAGGAAGATCCAGGGAACTACAGGCTAATTGGTCTATCCTCTGTGCCTGGCAAGATCATGGAGTGGATCCTCCTGGAAAGTCTGCTAGGGCACATGGAAAACAAGGTGATGGGTGACAGCCAGCATAGCTTCACCAAGGGCAAATGGAGTCTCACAGATTTGGTGGCCGCCTATGGTGAGGCTGCAGCATCGACAGATAAGGGAAGAGCAACTGACATAATCTATCTGGATGTGTACAAAATATTTGACACCATCCCATACGACATCCTTGTATCTAAATTGGAGAGACATGGATCTGATGGACAGACCACTCGATGGATAAGATATTGGCTGGATGGTCGCACTTGAAGAGTTGTGGTCAACACACCAGAGAGAAGGGATGTCATCCAGAGGGACCTGGACAGCCTGGAGAGGGGGGCCTGAGAAAACCTCAGGAAGTTCAACAAGGCCAAGTGCAAGGTCCTGCCGCTGGGTCGGGGCAATCCCAAGCACAAACAGGCTGGATGGAGAGCAGCCCTGAGGGGGAGGACTTGCGGGTGTTGGTGGATGAAAAACTGGACATGAGCCACCAACATGCACCTGCAGCCCAGAAAGCCAATCGTACTGTGGGCTGCATCACAAGATGCGTGGTGGCCAGCAGGTTGAGGGAGATTCTCCCCTTCCACTTCGGTGAGACCCCCACCTGCAGTTCTGTGTCCAGCTCTCATGAGACCTCAGCATAAAAAAGACATGGACCTCTTGGAATGGGTCCTGAGGATGCCACAAAGATGCTCAGGGGGTGGAGCACCTCTCCTACGAGGACAGGCTGAGAGATTTGGGGCTGTTCAGCCTGGAGAAGGCTCTGGGGAGACCTTACAGCACCTTCCAGTACTTAAAGGGGGCTTAGAAGAATGAAGGGCAGGAACTCTATCAATGAGTGTAGTGACCAGGACAAGGGGTAATGGTTTCAAACTGAAAGAGAGGAGATTTTGAATAGATATTAGGAAGAAATTCTTCAGTGAGCATGGTGAGATCGTGGCACAGGTTGCCCAGAGAAGTTGTGGAAGCCCCCTTTCTGGACGTGTTCCAGGCCAGGTTGGACAGGGCTCTGAGCAACCTGGTCTGGTGGAAGGTGTTCCTGCCCATGGCAGGCGGTTGGAACTAGATGACTGTTAAGGTTCCTTCCAACACAAACCATCCTACGGTTCTTTGACCAGGAGAGCACCTTTCTCCAGCAATTCAGCTGGGCCTCATGTAGGAAAGTAAATTGGAGCTGGGAGCCTTCAGCTCTGTCCTGAAACCTCTGACTTTGTTTCACCAAAACATCTGAGTTGTTTGGACTGTGCTGAGAAAAGGAGGGAAGAGCCAGAAGTGGAGTCTCGGTTGTGTTTTGTTGCTTGAAAAGACGCTAAGCTTGTGCTCTTCTTCCTGACTTTGCCTCCTAGATGGTGGGAATTGGGACGTCGGATGTGAATCTGGACAAGTACCGCCACACCTTCTGCAGCCTGCTAGGCAAGGACGAGGACAGCTGGGGACTCTCCTACACAGGTACCACAGGCAGGGCAGCAGCAGAGGGCAGGGTGGCTGGAAGGGCTGGAGCGGGTGTAAGTGTTGTCCTAAGGGGTTTAGAATTAAACGATCTGAACAGGGCTGATGCCATAAAGGCCACCAGGCCTGTGAGTCCCTTCATTAACAACAAGCGGAGCGACTGCCAGCAGCTCTTAGCTCTTGGAACAAGCTCGCCTCACCTGCGTTTTCCAGAGGCCTTGAAACTGGCGTGTGACCCCTTAGGGTGCCTGGACTGCTGGTTGCGCCTCACTGGGGGTTTTGGTGCCGGTGCCTGCACTGCCCTGGCATTGCAAAACCTCAGCCTTCCCCTTTTTGTCGCCCGCTCTAGGGTGGTAGGGCAGGGATTGGGCACTGAGCGTGGCCATACTTGCAGCATAGGAGTTGGGGTGAATTTGTGGAGCACAGGCTTTCCAGTAAGCGCTGGGTTTTTGTGTTTTAAGGACTGCTGCATCACAAGGGAGACAAAACAAACTTCTCCTCGAGGTTTGGCCAAGGCTCCATCATTGGGGTGCATTTGGACACGTGGCACGGGACACTCACGTTCTTCAAAAACCGCAAGTGCATTGGTAAGAGCAAGGGTGGGTGCAGAGGGGCTGGGAGGGCAGAGCTCTGGCTGAACTTGCAGTCTGGATGCAGGGGAAAAAACGTTGGCAAAGTAGAAGACTGAAGCATGAGACAAATAGGAGGAAGGTTCCATTCATTGCTTAATAGATTGGGATTTCAAAATGTTTTCCCAAGCATTTTCCGACAGCTCTGTAGTTAACAGCTGCAGGGTAGTCGGGAGGAGGGAGATCCCCCTCATCAAAACTAAGGTGACCGCCTGATGTTGTCCCTTGCCCTGCAGGGGTTGCAGCCACGAAGCTGCAGAACAAGAAGTTTTACCCCATGGTGTGCTCGACGGCGGCCAAGAGCAGCATGAAGGTGATCCGTTCCTGCGCCAGCTGCACGTCCCTCCAGTATCTGTGCTGTTACCGCCTGCGCCAGCTCCTGCCCGACTACGTAGACACGCTGGAGGTGCTGCCGTTGCCACCGGGACTCAAGCAGGTGCTACACAACAAACTGGGGTGGGTCTTGAGCATGAACTATAGCACGTCGAAGCCTTCCTCCTCCTCGTCTTCAGGAAGCGACTCAGATAGCTCTTGTGGCTCAGATGCAGAGGCCTGCCAAAGGAAGAGGTGCAGGAGGACATAATGTCTGCAGACGAACTGCTGTCAGGGAGTCGGGTGGGGTTTTGTCCTGTCATCTGCGAGGGCTGGCCAGGCCTGATGCACCTCTTTCTTCACGGGGATTTCCACTTCTACTCGTTTGCAAAGATTTCTCCTGGGCTGTCAGAAATCTTTCGCCGAAACATCCAGCATGTCCATTGAAAAGACCTGTTGACTCCAAGACGTCCCAGCTCTGTGAAACAGGTAGACTGCAGCCAAATATCTGAGCTTCATTGCGTGACTTGCTGTCCAAGCCTCTTCCTGAAGGATCTCCCTTCTCGCTGTCCCCAGAGACACGATCTATGGTGGCCTCCTGGTTTCAAAATGTACTAGACTCCAGTCAAATAAGGGACTTGCCTCATCAAAAGGCAAAATCAAAGACCAGTCCCCTCTTCCTAACTGTTGTGCTTTGGTTTGGTGTCTGCCATGAACTTGTCACACGGTGGGGCATGGTCGAGCAGTGGCACCTAAGGAAACGGGCTCCTAGAGCTGCATCTGCACCGCTGGTGTGAAAGAGCAGCCACTACCACGAGTTGAGCTGTTGCTGATCTTTCTCGAGTCCCCGGTGACCTCTGTTGCTTTGCATGTTGGTTCCTGCTGTTTCTCCTGTATCGAAGACTGTATTAAACTGTAATAATAAAAGTAGGAACACTGTCTTTTTTTCCTCTTGCAACCCTCTTGCAGGAATCCAGATGTGCTTGTCAGAAAGCCACGCTAGCAGAGCTGCCAGCAAGCGGGTGATTTTTAAACACAGCGCTTGTGTGGCAGATCTAGAGGAGGTAAAGGCAGTGGAGATCACTTTCCCACTGCCCTGGGGAGGGTTCTTGTGCTTCCCACTGAAACATGGGGTTTAACGGCCACAGTGGGCAGCTCCAGTTCCTCCTGTTTATACCCCTCAAAGCCAAAGCAGCACTGCTGGGAGAGGGGACAGGGAAGGCTAGGAAGAATGCGCTGGCAGCTTTTCCCAGCTTCTGGTCTCTCCTCCAGTGAGCAGCGTGTTTGCACATGGTTTAGGTCTGAGCTGGTGCCAAAGAGTATTGGAAAGTGGGAGGGGGTTGCAATAACTGGGAGAGGAAATGGCTTTTACCCCGTCCTCTCCATAGATTTCATCCCATCACGGTCACTGGAAAACAAAACTCCAGCTGCTGCCTTTTCCCCTGTTCCTACTACAGACCTGCAAAGGCTCTGGTGAAGCTTGTTGCACCACGTTCTTTTATTCCTCTCTGTGCCTTTCCTGCACCATGAATCTTGAAGAGTAGATGGCTCTCACTTCTCTGGTGACAGGTTTTAAAGGAGAACCTCAGTGAAGTAGGACAGTCACTCTGTCAATCCACCTGCATCGGTGCTGCAGTGAGGAAAAAGCAGCCTTGCTGGATTGCTCCTCCCCAGGAACTAGTTCAAGTGTTAGCAGATGGAAGCAGAAGAATCCCTGGCAAAGAGGAACTTTGTCTGGAGGATGCCCTCCCACTTCTGCAGCACCAGTTGGCCTTGCTTTGAGCCAGCAAGCTGCTGCTCACAGAAGTTCAGGGTTTTCTTTGTCCTTGTGGAATTAGCAATACCAAAATCTCAGGCACTGGGGGGCTCTGGCCCCTGCTGTCCTGTCTGCAGAGATTTCCAAGTAAAAACTGGAGCACTTGCTTTGGGAAAAGAGAATCCCATCAAACCCCACTATTTTGCATGGATTTTTTTGGAGCTTATCTTGCATTTCCTTATGTTGGTAGCTCAGCCAAGAAACTCCCCTCCCCTGCCCTGAGCTCTGCGTTATCCCAAGGATGTGGTTCCTCTCTGGCCAAATGGTTTTGACAATTGGTGAACATTTTCTGAGGGAACTCCAGCAGGAACCCCCTGCCTGAGGAAGTCACAAGACTAGGACTTACAGCAGCACGTCCAGTCTCACCGAAGAGCCAGCAGGGAGCAGGATGGTTAAAGTCAGCCCACGCTGCAAAAATACACGTCTCATTCAACAGCTCATCTGAAAGGCAGCACAGGACAGACTCATCAAGTGGCTGTCTCAGTAGAGAAGCTGATCCTGTGCTGCTCGGGGACAGATTCACCAACACTTTCACATCCAGCCCCTGTTCCAACCATTCCTTAGCTCTCTTTAAGAGACAGCCAGCTTTCCAGCCAGGTGGGACAGAAAGCTGGGACAGCTAAAAGAGGAAAGGAGAGCCAAGAGGCTGAAGAAAGCATCTGTAATGAGACATTTATTGATGTGCAAGTCTGTTCTGAAATGGAATCAGCTGCTTCCCTGGATGAGCTCCCAGCAGCACTGCCATGCCAGCAGTGGCTCAGCCCCAGCTGAGTCTTGGCAGATATGGCAAGCACCCGCAAGGCCCACGGGCCCTCTACGTGCGCAGGTCCATGATGAGGTCATGGTCGGTGGATAACACAAACAAGTAGATGCAGTGGGAAGAGTCTGTCCCGGCTCGGCGGTCTTGCCTGCTGATGTCCGATTTCACTGAGATGTCAGTTTTTCATCATCTGTGCTGCATTCTTCCCAAGCCTTTGAGCACACAAATGAAGGAAGCAGTTAGCACACGTGCTCTAAGAGAGGTCTCAGATCCCCCCTGCAAGGCTCAATCCCATCGTTACAGTGAGGATCCATGACTGAGCCTTCAGCCAAACATACCAGGATCAGGGGATAAAGCTCAGAAGAAGCGAGGTTTATCACTTGCAAATAGGCCTCGTGCATGCTCAGAGTTGTGTGCTGCACCTCTAGTGTAAGGTAGAGAGCTGTAAAACCACTTCCAAAGAGGCTGTGCTACGGACAGAGATCACAGCTCCAGGTGATAAAAAAGGAGAGGGGAGTATTTGACAACATGAGACTTTTAAGCGCTTTCCGTTAGATAAGGGACTTGTTTTTAATGAGATGAATACTGACAAAAACAAGTATTTCCTGATAAAAATGTATCTTTGTAAAATGGCTAAGGTGTTGTCAGAAAGGTGAGACAGCATCCTAATCTAATCCTGCTCCCCCAACACCTTGCTGAGCCAGTCTAGCTCAGGGAGCAGCAAAAAGCTAAGGGGAGCAGGGAAAGGGAGAATTCAGTGAGCTAAATCAGCTCCTGAAGGATAAGAAAACAGAAGAGCAAGGAAAGCATGGGGTATGCCTTGGGGACAGCCAGTAAGAGAGCTCAAGTGTCCTGTGGTACAGGAGGTGAAGTACATTTTCTGCTTAAAAGTGATGTAGAGCTGTTGGACTATAACAGCAGCCACCCGAGGCATCACCCATTTCCAATGAAAACCAAGCAAAACTGACAGACAGACCGTGTTGGACAAGGGCAGTGGGATGCATCCAACAGACCCTCAGCTTTGAGCAGGTCCTGTGAGGTGAGACCAAGGCAGAGAGAGGCCTGGAAGGGCTAAAGGTGAAACTAAGCTATGGTTTAAGTCACACACCCAGCTGGAGACCAGCCTTGCCTTTCTGGAGAACTGATTTCACGCTCGAGGATTGTTTGCTCCATCAATAAAGACCTTTAAGCAAGGAAGCACGTGGCACCCCTCCCTGCCTGCATCCTCCAGGCTTTTAACAGGACACTGATGGGTTTGAGGGCTTACCCATAACAGGAGGCTTGGGGAGGGATACGCTTCCACTATAGCTGCTGCTGCTGTTGCAGGGCTGATCCTGTTAAACTGCTGGATTTGTCTCTTCCACACCTGCCAGAGTCCTGTGCTGTCCTTCACTCGCACAGAGGCTGAAAACGATCGAGACACACCTAGTCTGGACCCATACGCTGATGCTGTCAAGGACAGGCTGGCAGCCACAGATAAACGTTCCTGTAGCTTCCACTGAGGTTTCCCAAAGCTCTGGGTTTGGGAAGTGACTTTTATGGCTCACTCTCACAGGCATTTTGCTATTGCCTTCATCAGTGCAGAGACATGCTGGCCAAACTCCTGCCACATGTCTAGGCACACCACTCCAGGTGTTACCCCACAGTGGCAGCACTACCAGTGCCTGGAGGAGGAGCGACAAGAGGAGAAACACAACAACACGCTGACAAACGGGCCAAAGACAGGCTCGGGTGTGCCATCCCTCCTCGACCCTCAGCCAGTAACGCTGGCATCAGCCCTGGCCGCCAAAGGCAGCCAGCAAGAGCAGTGAGGTAGGGTAGGACATGTCTCTCAGCAGGAGGAAGCTGGGCTGGAGCTGGCAGGGGAGGCTGCTTGCATTAGCTCTATTGTCACAGCACCACAGTAAAGCCTGCTCATCCTTGTTAGGATCCCAGTAAGCCAGCGAGTCATAACCCCCTTTGGGCCATACTCAGGCAGGGCAGGAATTTAGTTCAAGGGATATCAAGCAAGGGTTTAGATGGTATTTGACCTAGTTGGCTGTTGTGGCATCACAAGGAGTGTTGCTGCTCTCCTGTGGGACACAGGCTCTGCAAGGCAGAGATCCGAGCGACAACCACAGGTCCTTTCAAAGGTAACTGGACAGTTCTTGGCAGTGTTGGGGAGGGGAGGCTGCATCAGCTCTGAAACGGGGTCTTAAGAACCAGAGGCTCCAAACCATACCACGAAGTCTGCAGTCCCTCTTCAGTGCTATTGCTGGCCAGGGTAAAGGAGGATGCATGCAGATAAAACCTGATCCTAGCCAGCCACCACCTCCCCTGGCAAAGCAGTCCTTACGTGAAAGCTCACCAGCAGGAGCCTTTTTGGCACAACTCAACACCAAGTAACATGAAGGACTGTAAGAAGTTTTACCTCTAGTATCTGCTCCTGAGCTGTAGACAGCTCTGGGCCAGGCTGTGAGCCAGGACTCTGCTTTCCAGGGCTAAGTGCCTGCTGCCTGCCCCATTCCCCGTTACACCTACAAGCAGGACACACCTCTCACACAGGCTCACACCTCAGGGCTGCTGCTTGATAAAGAGGAAAAGGCCAGCCTCAACCCACCCACATCTGTCACCTCCAGATCTAACTTGGAGCTACAGACAAAGGTGCTGAGTTTGCTCCAGGCCATCTGCCCTCATGGGTGGTGGCAGCTTCCCTGCAGGGAAGAGGAGATGTGAAACCAGGTTGAAAGCTGCTCAGTGGCAGAACTCAACAGGGCACAGCTGATTTTTTTTATATATGCATAACACTCTTGGTAAAATTTATCCTCACAGGCTTAAGTGAGAAAGAGCCCAGGAGGTGATGAGACAAGAGCTCTTCCTGAGAAATGCTCCAGACAGGACAGACCAAGCTACTGCAGCTGCATCTACGTGGGAAACCCTGGACAGGATCACACTATTCCCACAGAGGAGGTTTCTCTACCTAGCATGTACATGGACAAGGAGGACCCAAGCACACAAATGAGATATTCATGGGACAGGAAAAGGGCTCCAGGCATTAAGCATCTCTCAGGGCATTTAAGAGCAGTGCAATTCAGCAAGAGAAGTTGCCTCGGCTCCTCTGTATCACTGTGACCTTCTGCCTGGGGTACAGAGAAGCCTTGCCTGTGACCCCTTTCTGGCTACAAGATCCTCAGAGACTGCTGGAAACACATGCAGGAAGTACACCCTCAAGACCACAAAACGTAAGTCCTGACCCACATGAGCACAGACTTTGTGATTCACAGCCACCACACTGGCACCAAGCGTCAGTAGCTCAGCCCCAAATGCGTCCCCCACTGCAGACACATTGATCTCCACCTGCTGTGAGCTCCCCCGGCACAGCCCAGCAACGGCCGGGCTGTAGGTTTTGGTGGAGGAACCCTCTAGATCAGCCAAAGGCAACTCTTGGTTCAGGTCAGGCTGACTCGCTGACAAGGCATTGATAAAACTATACGGCGAGACAAATCACACCCATGTCTGTAGCAGCATTTCCCTCTGAGCCGCCCCCTCCTCACCTCTGGCAGGACAGCAGGGCCTTCTGAGGTGCATCTCATGGGTGGGAAAGGGCAGGAGCCAACCTCAGACTGTGGCCAAGAGCATTGCCTCTGGGCATGCACTGCACGCCACATCTGTCAACACCCAGCTGCTTCCAGCTCACCTCTTTCCCCGGGGCGTCAGCACTGATCTCCTCACAGCCACTGCCTATTCTAGCCTGTCATTCTCATTGGGACTGGATGGACTAGGAACTTCTCAGGGCAGAAGCACAGGCTGCCTAGACAGGTATAAAGAAAATGTTGTAGGACTGTGCACAAGCGCATATATCCCTAAAAACCTCCTGCTGTACTCAGACACGGCTTCTACCACAAGCCCTCTCCTTTCAAACCACCACCCTCTGTAACACGGCTTTGTTTCAGCATGGAGCAACAGCAGTTTGGAATGAACCCTCCCTCCCCTTCCGTGTACACTTGGCAAAGGGACTTTGCTGTAGAGCACTTAGTGTAGGTCTGGCTCTGAGATCTGTATCACTTGGGTTAGGGAAAAGAGGCGTTTAAAAAAATCTTCCCGCTCCACCAACATCTCTTTCTCCTCTTCAGTCTTCATCACAGGGCCATCCTAAAGAAGATGAAATAATTTCCAACACAAGCAGGGGTCTGGTGTGAAAACAGACCGCATGTCTTCCCCTGTGCAGAGCCTACGCAGTAAGAGGCACTAATACTCACAAGGCTAGTGATAATACTCAGTATTAAGCTGGTGAAAGACCATGGCTGAACCAAAAGCTAAAAATTCTCCCTGAACAAGCAGATCACCGAAGGTGCCAAACAAGGAAGACAGTTACAACTGCAGAAGTTGCTAACTAAGATGAAAGGGCACAAAATACCTTTGTCTGTACTGCACACATTGTTAGATGATCACGTTATCTACACTTACACTATCTGTGGTCGGTTATATGACCAGAGCATCTGCAATGTTTGATCCAGCCACAGCAAAAACACAGTTCTGGCTCTGTCTGAAATTCCTGTACTTAGGCTGAGCACAAGAACAGCCTATTCTGAGCCTCCACTGCCACATGGCTACCATTTGACATGGTATTCCAAAACCAAAATGGAATGGGAAGTCTACTTGGTAGACTCAGGTTCCCAGGGAAGGGGGTTCAAGAAGAAATCACCGGGCTTTCTAAATGAGAGGCCCAGTAGCAAATCCATCTAGCTCTCCTAGCTTGAGAGCCCCAGCATGAAAGCTCTCTGGGGCTGTCTAGACCATGCGGTAACTACAATGAGATCAAGCAGCCATGCCTATAAGGAGGCTATAAGGGTGCCTATAAGGATGGGTCAGGTGACCCAAATGGACCACTCACGGTGTTCCTTCCCATGGTGCTCACTATAAAAGGGCCCATGAGGAGTGCTGGTGCCTGCTGGGCTGGGGGGAATGCCATGGGCTGGCCATCATCTCTCCCTGTACTGCTGCTGTTGTTCCCACCTCCTGTTTTGATACTGCAGAGGAGCACCATTTGTTGGGACAGCTTGTTTTCCCTCTGCCTCCCCAGGTAAGAGTAGCAGAGCTTCTTTTCTGTTTTGGTTTTTTTTGGTGTTTTTTGGGTGTTTTTTGACTATCATGGGGACTCTGTGCTTGGGTACTCCTGTCTGTTCTGAGTCCGGTTTGGGACTTTTCTGCTTGGGACCTAGTTGAGAAGTTGAGAGCTCCTTTTCCAGAGGTTGCCAGCCTTGGGGCTGGAGGAGTTGGTCATATCTCTCCCTCTCTCTCCATGATGCTCAGGAACGAGGTGGGGACCACCGCAGCACTCTAACCACATCTAGTCTGCGGTTGTGACAGCAACAACAGAGATAATGAAGCCAAAAGCACCTAATAAACACC